AAGATCTGACAGCCTCTTCTGCCTTTCACGGGCACTGCACAACATGAGTGCACTTACATACATGCAGGCAATGCACTCATACAGATAAAATAAAAATAATAAAAGTTTTTTTAAAGAAAACAAATGGCATAAAATGCTAGCAAGGAAAGGGGGAACCCTTATTTACTGCTGGTGAGAATGTAAACTGTGGAAATTAGTATTCCTCAAAAAACTGAAAACAGAACTACTATGTGCCCCAGCTATAGCACTCTTGAGCATACACTGGAAAGACTGAAAGTCAGCATACCTGAGATACTTGCACATTGACAATTTTTGCCATACTATTCACAATAACTATGAAATGAAATAGACTAGATGTCATCTATAAACGAATTGATACATGAAATGTGGCACAAATACATAATGGAATTTTAGGCTGTAAAGAAAAAAATGAAATCATGACTTTTCAGAAAAAAACAAATAAAACTGGAAATCATCATCTTAGCAATATAAGCCAGTACCATTTTCCCTTACATGCAAAACCTAGATATGAAGTTATATATGTGTGTATGTGTATATGAGTATGCATGGTTATACGTGTGTGTATGTTCATGAAACTAGAAAGGGGACCATGAAAAGAGGAGATGTTAAAGGGGGCAGAGAAGATAAAGCAGTACATGAAAGCAGAACGGGGACTGTGTGGGACAAGGAACAGACCCAGCCTGAGGGGGACAGCACAAAGGAAGGCAGTGGGGAGGGAAACCAGTAAGAACAAACTGTGGAGGCACACATGTAGGAAAATGCCAAAAGAAACCCGTTACTTTGTATGCTTGTCTAAAAATTTTTTAAGAACAGGAAAAAGTGGGACTGGAGGATGGCTCCATGGTTAAGAGCACTTGCTACTTTTCCAAAGGACCTAAGTTCAGTTCCCAGCGCCCATGTCAGGTAGCTCACAACCACCTGTTACTCCAAGTCCAGTAAATCTAATCCCCTCTTCTAGCCTCCATAGATACCCACACACATAGTACACACAGACATACACACATACACATAAATAAGAAATAATAGGGCTGGGGTGGGGTGGCGCACGCCTTTAATCCCAGCACTTGGGAGGCAGAGGCAAGTGGATCTCTGTGAGTTCAAGGCCAGCCTGGTCTATGGAGTATAGTGAGTTCCAAGACAGTTGGGGCTAGAGGGAGACCCTATCACTGTATACAAGAGTACCCATGTCATGCAATGCCCGAAGAAGTCAGAAGACAGTGTCAGATCCCCTGGAACTGGAGTTATGGACAGTTGTTAGCCGCCTTGTAGGTGCTAGGAATCATACCTGAGTATTCTGCAAGAGCAGTCAGTGCTCTTAACCACTGAGCCAAATCTCCAGCCCCATAAAATTCTTTTTGAGACACATCTTACTATGTAGCCCTGGCTGGCCTGGAACCTGCTATGGCCAAGACTGGCCTCAAACTCACAAAGATCTGCCTGCCTCTGTCTCCCAAGTACAGAGATTAAATGTGTGTGCCACCATCCAGCCCAAAAGTATATATTTTTAATTAATTTTTATTTTATATGTATGAGTGTTTTCCCTGCATGTTTTTAAGTGCATCACGTGTGTGCAATGCCCATAATAGAAGAGGGTGTTGGATTCCCTGGAAATGAAGTTACAGACAGTTGTTAGCCACTATGTGGGTGATAGAAAATGAACCCAGGTCCTCTGTAAGAGCAGCCAGTGCTCTTAACCACTGAGCCATCTCTCCAGTCCCAGAAGCAATTATTTTTTAAAAAATAAAAAATAAATTACAAAATGGAAAAGGGTATAGTTGTTCCTTGGTAACCACAGCAGATTAGTTCCAGGACCCCGGATATCAAAAATCCATGGATGTTGGTGCCCCTTACATAAAATGGCACAGTATTTGCATAAAACCTGCATATATTCTCTTGTACTCAAAATTGGTTTCTGATAAGAAATCCACAATTCTAACCATTGTTACTTTCGGTTTGCAACAGGGTTTTTCTGAAATTGGGCTTCCATTCCCCAATAGACTAGGAGACAAGGGTCTCACATTTAGATGTGGCTATAATAAACAGCAAATTCGTTTTGCAGCTTTCTCAGCCAGGCAGTTCAAGTGTGGCTCAGGTCCTCCCAGACATGAGGCCCAAAGCTGTTAGGAACTATCAGGGTTTGTGTGGACTGTACAGGCCAAGGTTGAGGCATAGTTGAAAACAGGGCCCAGAAGAATCTGGCTGAAGTGTGGTCAAGGAATCTATGTTAGAAGGCTCCAGTCACAACCTATTACTAAATTAACATCAGACAAACAATGTGGAGAGCACATTCTAGCCTAATCAGAGGCTAAGTGAGAAATGTGTGTCTGCAGAGAGAATTAAAAAATTAAAGCCAAATAAACATAATGGCACACCTGTGGAGTTGTGGCTAGCAAAAATCTAAGTGTCATCCTGTAAGACCCCCAGGTCTATGTCACATCTCCTCCCCCAGGGTCTCAGAATCTTCTCAGGTCAGAATGTTTGAATCACTGGCAACAGGTCTAAGCTCATTTGGTTCTGTTTCTTTGTTGAACTGGGAAATTGAGTCCAGCATTTCTGTGAATAGATCAGAGTTCTTAGCACCCCACAGCCTGGTTCTGCATTACTGTGAAGAATCCTCTTGAATCCTATGGGAGAGGTCTGCTGGGCTGAGTGTGGGTCCTGACACTCTGGGAACTCTGCCGTCTCCACCATCTCTCCCCTGATTCAGGTTCAGAGAGTTCCCCAAATATCCCCTCCATGCATTTGCCTGCTTCAAGCTTTCCTTCTCCATGCCTGTCTTGGTTGTTGGGTATAATCACTGGTTTCATTTGCCTGGCATCAGAGGATGGATGTGTGACAGAGGGAGACAGACAGACAGAACAATGGCAAGACAGAGATAAAGATAGAATGTGGCCAGTCACAAATGTGAATATCTGGGCTGCTTCTTGCCGGTCTTAGGGAATCACAGTGACACCAGCCACCTAAGTTGTGATCCCAGTGATCCCAGAATGGCCAAGAGACAGTCTCAGTCATACATTCCTCACTTACTCAACCACCTGTCTTACCACCTAGTATTTATCAGACATTGAAGACCCAGCCAGCTGCAGATTTTCAGACTAGTGGAAGAGAAGCTTGCTAAATAAAATCAGGGCTGTGCCAGAAAAACAGGCTGTTGGCCCACTGGATGGAGTTAATACCTGCAGAGGTCAGGAAACTGTTGCCCAAGGAGGTAGAGGTGAGATAACTGTGGACTCCTGCATCAGTGCAACCAGACACAGGACACAACCTGTGGATGGGAAGTCCCCAGTGTAAACAACCTGAGTAAAGTTTGGAGGCAACCAAGTGAATCAGGCACCCGATCAACGGCAGTTAGCTGAACATGGCAGATATGGACAGTCAGGGGTGAGCAAGAAACACAGCCTTTAGGACAGGCTGGCCAATCCTCCACCTGCTTTCTGGATTTCTTCTTATAGCATGGACCCTCAGATCTTGAAAACCAAAAGCAAGAATGGGCCATGGTATCAAGCCAAAGATCACCTAGCTGGCCTCCAAAAACTTATTCCTGGGATCCTCTCCATGGGGCAAAGGCCAGATGCAAGAACTTGGTGCATTTGAGGAAGTGAAAGCCAGAGGGAGGCAGAACATGGCATGAGCTGAAACCACTGTTTCACGGAAGAGAGTCACAAGTTACAGGAGGCAGGGATGATACTGACATGTATCTACCACACTAGAGGGGACCCTTAGGGGTCATTTGGCATGGTAGACAAGTGTTCTCAATCAAGTTTGGAGCCACAGCCACCTCCCTGAAGTAAGACATGTCCATATAGTGTAGAGGTAAGGTATGTCCATATAGTATAGAGGCCTCATGTACAGGGTCTCTCTGAGGGGCACATTCTGACCCACCTCCCAGGAGCTCAAGATTCCACGCTATAGCCAGAGCACTGGGAATTCTCCCATCCCCCTGCATCCAACAAGCCTAGTGTGGCCTCTTGGACCATGCTCCCCAGGCTTCATGGTCTCTCCACAGGCTATGGCTCAGAAGTCAGGCCACCGGTCAAGAAAAGTTGAGAAGGTCCCTGATGATGCCCCAGCATGGATTGCTGAAACCCAGGCAGGAGCTGTAGCATTTCTCCAGGGCAGAGGTGGCCACTTGTGGTCTGAGGGTCACATCCTGCCCAGCCCCATCTGTTTCTATAAGTTAACAGCATAGCCACACTGTTTACTAATCTGTAGCTGTTTTGTGCTATAAAGACAGAATTGAATAGTTTGACTCAAAAAGCCAAGACAGAGTATGGCCCACAAAACCAAGAATAGTTACAATCTGGCCCTTTACAGAAAATGCTTGCTGGCCCCTGTCATTGTATCTCTCCCAACCCTGGTACCTTTAGTGCTGTCTGGAAACATCTGGGGTTGTTACACATGTGAGGGCCATCTGGTATGTTCAGGCATCTGGTGGCAGAGGCCAGAGATGCTGGTCACCACCCAAAATGCACAAGACAGCCCCATGACAAAGGGCTGTCCATCCCCAAACATCATTAGCACCAAGGAGCAGAGCCTACTCTAGACCTGTCACTTGACACCTGCTCTCCCCCAATGCAGAGGCCCAATGATGGTGTTTCCTAAGCTCTTTGCTCTGTGACTGTGGAGATGCCAATAGATGGCCCTGTCCTTGGTAAGATGGTCCCCCTCTAAGATGTTTTTGTCATCTACTTGCCCCCATGATTTTCAAGAGTAGAGTTCAGGTAAGTGTTGTCCCTGGTGTCTCTAAACTGAGTGTGATTGGTCAGGTTCTTGGGACCTTTCACCTGGCGGTTCTTAGATTGTTTCTGAAATCACACAGCAGCCAGACCAAACTAAGAAAAACAGCTTTAATTCTGTAATCCGCCCTCCAATGGGTCTTATGAAGACACACAGAGATAAGGAGAAGCTGAGCGACTCCATCTCCTTGGCTCTACACCCCAGGGCTCCACCCCTCCTCCCCCCCTACCAGCCTAGCCCAACAAAGCCAACCATTTCTTCAGTTCCAGGTCTCAGGGTCTCGGATTGCCTGGGAGCCTGAATCTGTAGCCTACTTTTCTCCTCCCATCTCCCTCACCATCCCTTTCTCTTTCTCCTGGCTCCGGAGCCCCGCAGCACAGTAATACACAGCCTCATCCTCAGGCTGCAGCCCAGAGATGCGCAGATATCCCTGGTTCCTAGCAACATCTTTGGATCCAGAAAAACGAAAAGGGATGTTGGGGCCCTGTTTCTTGTCAGAGTGTGAGAAGTATCTCAGGAGAAACCTTGGAGGGTGTCCCGGCCTCTGCTGGTACCAGTAAATGCTGTAAACATTGATGTTATGGTTCCTGCTCAGAGTGCAGGTGAGGCGGATGGTGGTTCCAAGGGAAGAAGAGGCTGACAGTGGTTGATGAAGCATGGGATGAGGACCACAACCTGAGAAGATAGAAGAATGTTGGTCCCCAGGGCAGAGTAAGGCAAGAAAAGGGGACAGGAGGCTCCAGGCCCCAAGATTCCCTTACCTGTGAGGTGGACCAGCAGCATGAGCAGGACAGAAGCCCAGGACACAGGGTGAAACCTGCAGTACTCTGCCTCCCATGGCCACTGCTCCTGAGGCCTGTACCCGATGGGCAGTACTCTCCTCCTTGTTCTGAGGAAAGGGTCATTGTACCTCTGGTTCTTGCTCACCACCATCCCAGACTTTCTGAGGTTTGCAGAGTCCCTTACCAGAATAGTCTGGTGACAGACTTTGTGGCTCTAGCTTTGTCCTGTGGAAGTGTTCTGGGAGGAAACACCTGCTAGAAACTCATGGACCAGAACCTAGGAACTGGCTGGTGGGCTCATATCCCTGAGGGAGACTGACCTCAGTTCCCCTCCCCCCAAGAAGCTGAGCCCCACAGAAACAGATTTTCTGTACAAATTTAAATGCCTGGTGAATTGGGACAAGGGGATATATTCATACATGTATGAAGCAAAAACATCTGCCTCATACAGCAGGAAATTGGGGGCCTCAGAAAGAGTAGAATGTTCTGTCCCCTCCCAAATTCAGCAGAGCCTTCAACCTGGCTCTTTTACCTCCTAGAACACAGTAAAGTGATAAGGCTTCAAAAAAGCAGTAAGGGCCATGATCTGATAAGACAAAGGGAGAGCTATTTTTTCAAATTTCTTCACTCCTGCCAGGAGATTACAAAGGCATTTTAAATAGAGACAATCATGCTATCAGACTACTGATTTATCAGACTGTTGAAACAATGTACCCACAAAGAAAATTTCCTTAAGAATCTCATGCTGGGGTAAAAGAAAGGCTGAAGCCCTGGTTCCAGTCATAGGAGGAACCTGCCTCCATGGAAGAGATTTCACTCAGTTCTGACAATTTATCAGATCACCTTGAGCCAAAGATGGGTGGATGATAATGACCATGACTGTTAATTAAGCATACCTCTTTCTCTCTACTTAACTGGAACTTGGGGAAGACACTGAACCTCTTTATTTGTTCCTCTATCAAATATGGCCACACTGTATAAATCTTCTTTCTCTCCTTTTTACTATTACTCATCTCTATTTACATTTTTTTAATTTAGGGGTTGAAGAGATGGCTCCGTGGTTAAGAGCACTTGCGGCTCTTGCGGAGAACCCAAGTTCAGTTCCCAGCACTGACATGGCAGCTAATAACTGCAGTAACTCCAGTTCCAGGGAATCTGATGCTCCCTTCTGGCCTTGCATGCACATGGTACACTTATGTAGGCAAAACATTCATAGACATTAGTTACTATCACTCATAACTAATTAATTAATTCTTACTTATTTTGCGTGTGCATGAGGTGGGGAGCTCATGGCCCATGCACTTGCAGCAGAAATCAGACAACAGCTTGCAGAACTGGTTCTCTCCTTCCACCATGTGGTACTGGGGATCAAATGCAGATCCTCAGGCTCAGCAGTAAGTGCCTTTACCTGCTGAGCTATCTTGAAGACCCTTACTTGTCTCTTTAATTGATGTATTAAGGGTGGGTGGCCAATCCTAGCTCTTTGGGGCTGTCAGGCCTAGACTTGTACCCTAAAAATTCTGGTAACAGGGATTAAGCCCAGGAGTTTGAGGCCAACCTGGGCCACACATGAGACCATTTAAAAATAAATGAAAATGATATTCTAATAAAGTCATGGAAATTATTATAAATCTTCCATGATTCTAATGCCATTAACAAAAATTTTTATTCGTCATCTTCCAAATATATTACCACAGATAATTCACGCCACAATTTTATTTTGTTTTGCTTTGATTTGTTTTGAGACAGCCTGTAGTCCAGGTTGGACTGAAACTTACTATGTAGCCCAGGCTGGCCTCTAACCCTCCACCTCAGCCTTCGGAGTGCTGGATTACAAGTATGAGCCACCATCCCTGCCTCACAGATGTTTCCGGCACTGAAAGAAGCCTGCTATCTGTAGTTTTAAATTTATTTTAATTATTAATAGCATCTGTTTTCGCGATAATTCTCATAATCAGGGTAATCCTCAATATTGTCTCCCCTAGACGGGGTTTGGGGGACCCACTCCAGGTTGCGGCCAGACCAGGCCGAGTGGAGGCTGGCGGACTCTGGCTGCACCAGGCCTGGGCAGGCAGAAGGAAGAAGCGCTAGCAGCAGGCCCTGCACCCGGAACTCAGCAGCCTAGGAACTCGCAGACACCTACGTGCCGGCATCGGAGTGCAGACTGGGGACTCCACCAGCGGCCGGACCCGGAAGTAGGTTCGCGGTGTCCACCCGGAGAGCCTGCCCGGAGCGAAAGTTGTAGCGGCGCAGTGGGTGAGCGGTGGGCTGCAGGCTGCTGGAGGAAGCGGAAGGCGCGGGCTTTCCTCCGGTATTTCTGGAATGGTAGCGCAGCTTAGACCCCGGCCAGGACGCGGGGGAGGGTCCCTGACCGGCTCCTCCTTCTCGCCCTCCAGCCGGGGTCAGCGGCGCCCCGCAGGCCCGCGCTGGCCGTGGGTCTCCAGGGTGGCGGTGGGCCCACGCGCGCGCTGTGACTAATGCTTCTCCATCGGCTCCGAGGTGAGGTTTCCCGGGTCCCACGGGTAGGGAAACTGAGGCTCGGGGAGGCCATACTGCTGCAGGCTACAGTCGGAGGCAAAGTTTTCGCTCCAGTCTAGAGGCGGCCGCTGTTCCCTGGCTTGACCTCTGCAGAGGGAGGAAACGTGTGTGAACAAATGAACTATAATCCAGGGTCAGCCACTGACGAAGAGAAGGGAAGAAAGGCAGTGACCTCATCTTGCCCGAGTTTCCCTCCTGCCTTTGGGAACCGTACTGTAACAGGCCGGAATATCTTGGGTTTGATGGCTAGAGGGGCAAAGAAGTCCACCCTTTTCCAAGTCCCTTGTCACTGATCTGAATTGTTCAGAACTGCAGTTTACCTTTCCAAATTTTGGACCGGCTGGTGCAAGTTGTCAAGGTATCAACAGGCTAACTTGCTACTTTCTCTTGAACCCACCTTTCTTTCTAGCTACTGGCCCAATGTGAAGTGTTTGCCGTCAACATCTGATTAGCACTTGATTATCTTACTCTTCAAAATAGGACAAGCTGTAGCCTCAGCTCTGGCAGACAAGACTGAACTTCTTGTATCATGTAGGTTATTATTAAAGAGCCTGTTTTATATATTTAAGCATTTATATACAAAAACTTAGCCAGGCATATTGGCATATGCCTGTATTCCCAGAACTGAGGAGTTGAAGGTAGGAAGATCAAGAGTTCATGGCCAGTCTTGGCTATGTATGTAGTGAATTTGAGGCCATCCTGGGCTATATGAGACACTGTCTTCAATGCCCAACCCCCCCAAAAAAAACCCAAAAATTTTTGGAGGGTGCCAGGGTTTGAGACAGGGTCTCCATGTAGGCCCAGATGGCCTGGAACTCCCTGTATAGACCAGGCTGGCCTTGATGTCACAGAGATCACCTGCCTCTGCCTCCTGAGTGCTGGGACTAAAGGTATACAGCACTAGACCAGGCCCTTAAAAAAAAAAAAAAAGCAAAATCTTAAGTAATAATAAAACAAGTCAAAGCCAGACATGATGGCACACGCCGTTAATCCCAGCACTCAGGAGGCAGAGGCAGGCAGATCTCTGTGAGTTCAAGGCCAACCTGGTCTACATAGTACGTTCCAAGACAGCTGGGGCTACAGGGAGACCCTGTCTCAAAAAACAAGCCAAAAGTATAAAAATGGTGTATAAGCAACATGTGAAAACCATCACATTCCATTCAGATTTTCTCACTGGTTTCTGTTTTGAAATGGAAAATATGCCTTAATGGAAAATAGGGAAATGTTAAAATTAATCACAGTTAAGACTGCAGAAATCTTTTAAGAGGTAGAACCTGATCTAAGTAAAGAAAAACATTTTCTGCTGGGCATAAGGAAAAGTTTCAACTCTATCTCAACAACTTCCTAGGTGACCTAGTAAGTCGCTTTCTCTGAAACTTAGTGTCTCTTCCTTTCTGTGATGATTGTCAAAGCCCCTTTCCCTGAGTTACCTGATTCCATACCCCTAAAAGAAGGAATTATTTTTTAAAACAGCATATTGCTATGGAGCCCAGCATGGCCCTGACCTTATGATCCTCCTGCCTTACTCAGCCTCCTGAGTGAAGGGATTACAGGAATATGCCACCACGCCTGGCACTAGGAAGTGATTTTTATTTTCCCTCTAGTGAAACAGTGATTCTCAGAATATTACAAAGTCCCCATGTAGTACTGAAATGCTAGAATTATATTTCTTCAGCGTCAAAGCTACTGAAGACAAGTGTATATCCAAAGTGGACAGTAGTTGCACAGTCTGGCAGATGAACAAACACTCTGAAATTGAGAAGTGTCACATACCTTGTGTATATTGCTCAGTTGTATTCCCTTTCCCAGATAAATGGCATAGTCCTGTTCATGATGCCATGGCAGAATGTTTCTCTCTGAAGTGACTGACAGTCTATTATCCAAAAACACAGGATCTTGGATGTGAAGGGGAGTGGTAAAGATATAAAACTCCCACAACTTTGAAACAATGGAAAAAAGAACGTTGAAGAGAAATGTTTACAACACTATAAATTTAAAATTAGTTTTTAAAACTGAAGGATCTATAAGCATTCTATTCACTTTATAGATAAAATTGTATTCATATATTCAGGCACTCATTCAGTGACGATTGCTCGCCATCTCGTACTTCCTATTAGAGTGAGCAAGGCAGAACCCCTGTTCTCCCAGAACTTGCTCATGTTCTAGGAGCTATAAGACAAGAACCTCATGGAATCTATATCAGCTTAGTGGTAAGTGAAACCATGTAGTAAAACAGGGCAACAGGATAAAAGCTTAGAACACAGTTCTAGACCAAAGAGCCAGGTTCAAATCCAAGTCCTGCCACTCAGGCTCTAGTGTGACCTACATTCCTACTCTAGGGCAGTACAGTAGTATGACAATGCCCTGCCCCACCCCACCCTACCCGCAGCGGCACTGACTAGACTTGTTCAGTACCTGGTCCTACTTTGAAAGAGACAGGAAACTCAAAAGCCTTCACAGAACAATTTCCTTCCCATTCTCCCTTCTGGCCTCTGGTTTCTCTGGGTGAGAGAAAAAAAGTCCCTGGGTCTTCTTTAAACTTCACTTCTGGGCCTCTGACTTTGGTAGAACCAAAACTTCTCCAGAATGGAGAGCAGAAGTTAAAGTTGCTTCATTCATTCATTCATCCAACAAACTAGGTGTCAAAGATACAGCAATTAATTAAATCCATGGGAGAAACAGACCTGTGATACCAGATATGATTTTCAGAATGGGACAGGTCAGAAAGAGCAAATAGAAGAAAGGATGACTTAGGCAGAGTTCTGAAGGTAAGAACAGCCATGACTCAGAAATGTAGCAGATGGCCCAACAGCTCACCTGCAGACCACCAGGCTATCGTTCCTGGAGAACTGGCTCTTTTTCTTCTGTGAGATTGTATCTTTAGGGAGGACATCCAAATTTTTGTTTGGGGTACTTTTTATTTCATTGTGGTCCTGCAACAAGGGCTGTGGTGGACAACCCAGACTGACAGACACCTACGAAGGATTTTTCATTGACATCAACATCTCTGTTGTTTCTGAACAGTGGCTCTTGCAGCCCTCTTAGTGCGGTGAAATTCATTGTCAGTTGTTCTTTTTCATCAGTCATATATATCCATAGCACTACATTTAAAAGACTGTGGCAAGCAGGAACCACACACCCCCAGTCTAACACCCTCCCTAGGACAACTGCTTCTAAGTTGTTCTCAGACACATTTGCCTTTTGTAAACAAGCATGCGTGTGTGTGTGTGTGTGTGTGTGTGTGTGTGTGTGTGTGTGTGTGTTTGATCACTAGTGGCAGTGTACTATACATGGCTTAATTGTTCAGGTTCCCTGTATAATTGATCATGGCAATCTGGCTTCTCTTTTACTTACGTGTCATATTTGTATGTAACCAGTTCCATATTGACAGAGGTTGGTTCTGATCTTTTACTTTAAATGACAGTGTATTTCCTCTAAGTGTTGTCACCCAGTCCACAGTCACTCCATCATAGTCCTGTCCTGTCTCTCAGGCACTCACTTTCCACATGGACAGGCTTGTTAGCACTTACCACTTGTTTCTGTGGTTGTCTCTCAGACACTATGCCCTTCCCAGGTCACTACTACCCAATCCTGTACATATTCCCCACTCCTGCCAGCCAAGAGTTGCTTCTTCTGGCTCCTTAACATCTAGCTTCCTGCCATTAGAGCCCAGGGAGCACAGTGGTGTGGGCTGTCCCTGCACCGTCTCCTTACTCTTCACCCTCCCTGGACTTGGGGCTGCCGTCTTGATCATGCCTCTCAACCCCTACCCTCTCCTCCCTCATATTCACCTAGAAGTGCCACCTCCTGCCCTCCCTTGCTTCCTCCAAGAGGATTTCCCAGCCCCACACTGCCTGCATACCCTCTCCAGCCTCTTATCCTTGCTCTTGGCCAGCCAGCTGCCTCACCCCTTCCTTTACCCATCCTGGCATCACTCCAGCCCTTCCCCACTCCCTCCTCTTCCTTCTGCTCTGTTGGGATAGTTCTTATCACACTGGCATGTCATCCATCTAAAGCAAAATGAAACACACTTGAGATTTTCTAGAGTTTGTCTCACTTAGCTTTCGCCTCTGTCACTCCATAGCTGGTTCCCATCAGAGTCACTGGGAGTCATTCAGCTGCCCTGTCACCCAGCCTGCATTTGACAGTGTGATGGTTTCGACTGGAAGGCTTTTTTTCTTGGCTTTCTGGCCTCACCTCTCCTGCCATACTCTAATGGCTCCTTTTCATGCCTTAGAGTTGAAGCTATGTTCCTTCCGTGTGCCCCTATGGCTGCCTCCACCACACCTCAGTAGTCAGTGAATACCTGAACCACTACTCCTGAGTGCTACCTTGACCTGCTTCTTGTGTTGCCATCAGCAGCAGGAATCCTTTCTTCAGTTGTCTGAGCGGAAGTCTAGAGGTTATCGGTGGTCACCCCCATCCCAGTCTTGCCTAGGCTCTGGCTCTCTCTAGGGCCCAGTCACCTCTTTCTGTGTGTCAGTCAGGGGGCACACTCCAGGGCAGTCCTCCACTGCTTCCTAGGTCTCCCACCTCCCACGCCACCCTCTTTACTGCCCCTCCAACAGCCCAGCCACCTGTCTCCAAGCCTCACCTTCCCTGGTCCTTCTACCTCTCCCAGATGCTATCTAATGCAGTCCCTTCTCCTCCTACCTATGGACACCCAGCACTGCAGTATGAGCTCTAAGA